CCATTGAGTGGGAGAGAACATTCCCAATGCTCCCGTTCTCTCACAGCAGCAGAATTTCCCTAAATCGACACTTTTTGCAAGGTTATGTAACAGTGAGCACAGCACTCTTAACTCTCATCTAAGCAGACACTGTGTGCACAGTGTAAGCACCAGGGTGCTCCTTTACAGTGAGCTGTGCTCCAACCCAGCATGTCAATTTTAAAATGACAAAAAATGGTATATTTACTTCTCGGAAGAGAACAGCAAGTTACCCAGGCAAAATCATGGATTCCTGTATAGGGGTTATTAAGTAAACAAAGTGCAGGAAACAAGATTCAATGGCTTTTAAGCGCAGTAAAACTGAGCTTCTAAAGCAACTTCAGTTCTTTAGTATAAATAACCACTTTGGGACTAGCAGTGCATGGGAAACCAGCCAAAGAAGCTCCCCAGACCTCAGCACAACTCCTCCTTTTTGTCATCTGGAGTGCTCTTACAGCATTGCCGGAACAGAAAGAAATGCCACAGAAGCTCTCAGGGATAACCAAAATCAATTTTGCAGGCTTGTGAACCCCTGTCCACTAGAGGTGTTTCTTCTGTAGTATGAAAGACTGTTTCCCTTTACATTAACTGACTCAGCCACAAGCTTTCACATGGAAGAAAACGGCAGCAATTTGATATCTCAAATACATTTACTAACAGAGAGAGCAATTTTCTTCCATGGCACAGCCTCCTGTACTCCTTTTCAGTACTGAAGTACCCATTAAGAGTGACTCAGTGGTAGAAAAAACATGTGAAAAAAAGACATCCTGCAGTTTGTTTTTAAATACTCTCCTTGGTCAGTATTACCCTATCAGGAATTTGTGAAAACCAGAGGTATGCAATATATTTTCAGGAGAGATGGTGCATTAAAAAAATCATACTAAAAAGATCACAACTGTTAGTGCACAGCAACCAGCCAAAAAAGTTTGACTCCTGACTAACTAAAGTCTCCTCTCCTTTCTACTTTATCACAGCCACGAATCCCTTACCTACTAGCAAGGGTAACTACCTTTCTTTTATCTTTTTCCAATCTCTTGCCCTCTCTCACCTTTCTCTTTTCTCTGGACATGTAGGAAAGCAGATGCCTCCCTGTGTAGGGACGCAGACTTACCTCAGCCACCTTACTTCAGATTATCAAACACAAGGGCATTTATCTTCTCAACTTTAGTTTTCCTAATGTTTTATTGTTTAGTCTAATGATTTTCTCAATTCAGGTTTAGACTACCATGTGTAAACCATACAAATGCTTTAGTCCAGGGAGGGACAGAGTAGGGATGGTCAGAGTACAAGAACGACAAGCCAGGTACCAAGAACCCACTACTTGTCAGCAGGTAGGTTAACAGGTATTATGGAACACAAAATCCTCTGCTATGCCTGGGCTCACTCTCAAATTACCTGGACAGTTATACAGAAGGGCTTTTTCACAGGTTTTTCAATAGAGCTGGAATTACGCTAAAAACTCTCCTGAGTAACAGTTTATGAACGCATACCACCAGCACAACCCTTAGCTATTCCTCCTGTCATGCTACTCTGGAGTTACACTGTACAGTCCTGTAACAGAAGCTATGCTACGTAAGTGCAGTAGGATGACATAACTCTGAGCTCAACTTGATGGATTTTCCTATTTGCAAGATTTTGCACTGTAACTCCTGATTAATTTTGGATGTGGAAATGAATGAGCTTATCAAAGAAACAAAGTCAGAGCTATTCTTGTTCAAAACAGTGTTTGGTGTTTCTTCTAATATAAAATGACTTTTAGGATCAACCATATTTTATTATCTTTTCTATAAAAAGGATCTGCTGCCTCTTACCCAGTAACACAAGGATGCACTTCCATTTAGCTGATGAGAACTGGAAGACAAACATCCTCCACTGTCTCCCAGTATCCCATGCAGCTTCCTGAGCAAACACACAAGTTATTTCCAGTTTTGGGGAAAGCGGATTACTTTATACTAAGAATTCTACTTATCTGCTAAAAATCTACCCTGCCCTTTCTACTCATACAGATAATAAGATTGACTATAGAAGATCCTATGTTAGGGTTAGGGTTCTGAATTCATTCAGGGCTTTAGTTATATCACAGAAAGGATTCAATAAACGTCACAGACACATCATGACTTTTCAGTGAACTCAACACAAAAGGCAAGCTCCTAAGTAAATTGGCTGAAATACTGGAAGATCATGCAGAAAGATGTGTCCGTGGGCTGATCAGAAAAGAGCAGAAGTCGGCTCAGACCTAGTACATATGACTGTAGCACACAAAGCCTGCAAACTCAGCAGCACTGTACTCACCACCACATTTCTTCAAGGACCTGCTCAAAGACTTTTCAACCCTTCACCACTGAAACAAGAGTGACCTGCTCCAGCTCTGATTTTGGAAATCTTGTGGCTGCTTGTACCACATAAGAGCCTTTGTTGGTGGAGATGTGGATTTAAAAGGCCTGAAGGAACTCTGATGATAATCTGGTCTGACTTCCTGCCTGGCACAGGCTCTAATACTTCATGCAGCAATTTCTTCACAAAGCCCAAGAACTGGTAACTCTACGAGAAGATATTTCAGAAGGAGATCTAATCTTGATTTAATTACTCCAAGTGATCTACCACATTCCTTTCTAAGCTTTTCCAATGGTTAATTACACCTACAGTATCATATTTCCAACTTGAGCTCCTCTTGCTTATCTCGCTGTTTTTGTCTGTTGGAGCCCTATCCTATCTCCCTACACAGATATTTTTAGATACTAACCACATCACACCTCAAAATTCTCTTAGTTGAGATAAACAGTTTGCCTGTTTGGCAAATCAAAACAGGGATTCCTGAATCCAACGCAGAGCAGCTGCGGTGGTATTACAGATAGCTTTTGACTATAAGGACTAAAAAGAGAAAAGTCAATTCAAGCGCACTGAGCATCTTTAACAAGCTTTTCCAGCTTTCATAGCAGTCACCCATTTGTAAGACCTGGAAATTTGGGATCAATAGCACCACCATCTGCAGCGTTTCACTTTCAACTTAACTGATAAATTCCAGCTCAAACTGGATCAATAGTTACTGAATACTATAGTTAAAGAAATAGATGGCTGATGGCAGGTGGTTTTCTAGTACTTGTATGTCAAAATCACATAAAAACCCTGCTAACAGAATGACCCAGTACTTCTGCCAAGGCAGAAATCCAGGATTGAGCAATCTGTACCGAAAATACTTCCAGTTGTGACTCTGGGAAACAAAATGAGTAAAATTCCACTACTGCTGTCATGCCATATTACTTGAGCGTATTACTTAGACATTTATATTACGGTAGGATTCAGAGGCTTCACATAAGGCTCTCTTGTGTTAGGTGATCAGCTACAAACACAGCAAGCTTAATTCGTTTTTTGCAGCATTTGCCCAGTTCTTGTATGGCTGAATCCTCGTAAGGAGACTGAAGGAGGACTTGTGTCCTCCCTGAATCATGGACGTTGATGAGATCAGCGTACAAAGACTGCTCACAACCAGAATTTCTGCTGGCATTTACTAAATCCCTGTACAGCTCATGTGATTCCCCACACATTATGAAGTTCCTTAGCTTCCTTAGCCCTATTCCAGAAGGACTTCCAGTGCTTCACAGTGTTTTGGTGCAGAACGGCAGCATCTTGCTGTCTCAGAGATACACTATACATGCACAAACCTTTGTAACCGCAATACTTGTACATGCTCTCCATGTACTAATACAGTGCAACAGCTGCAAAGCTCAACTGTCTGCTACTTATATCACTTTAAAATTTTCCACAACAAAAAAAAAAGTGATACGACACCTCATTACTTTTTTACAGCACTTCTGTTTTTCCATTAATATTTCACATTTGTACTCACTTGTGGTATCAAAAAGCTTACATTTTGCATAGCTTAACTGATTTCCTTCTTAGCCTCCCTCTTCCCTATTCCAAGGATGCCCATCTGCAAGTAAAGAACACAGTTTACGTAGATGTGTTGACTTTTACTGGTTTAAAATGTCATCAGGTTTAAAAAAAAATTCCTTTTAGTCACACTTCCATTTGGAAGGCGTTTGACTAGAAATAGGTGCAGGAAATGCAACTCTGCAAGCTTTTACTTGAACCACCAATAAAAACCAAAACAGGCTAATATGGGAGGAAAGGAAAACAGTAACCAACAACACTTCCCTTCCTTGGCATCCTGTGAATGGCTCTTAAAATTGAAACTATCACCTGTGACTGAAAAGTAATTATGCATTTTTGTAATGCTCTGAACAGGTTCATCCTGCCACTGCGTGTCAGAACAACTTGCTATCATACACCTGGCTATGTTATTTGACATAGCTGCAGCATTTTCTAGATAACACAGCACGTGAATGTCAGCATGCTCACTTGCAATGAAAGAAATAAAGAGATAAATCCCTACTTTTTAACACCCCTTGCTGTTGATATTGTATTGAAAGACCTTCTTCTGCCTTTTGCTTATCTAGCAGATGCACGAGAATCCACTTCCAGATGCAGCCTGAATCATGCCATATAGGAGAGGAAATACTTCTAGAAGAGTGCACGTGTCGTCTACAGGTACATTCATTTGACTATGTAAACTCCCACCACCATATGTCAAAACCCTCGAATTTGCTACAATACTACTTATTTCAGCATGTACTCTAGTATTTAATTTTCAAACTGTAAGAAAGGTCTCCTTACAAGTGAAGATTTTAATTGACTGAGTAGTAAAAAATAATCTGTTGAAAAATAATTACCTGTAAATTTCTCATAGGAAAAAGAAGTTTCCACACCTATGTAGTAATCTATCTTATTTTGATTAAGACCAAATAGTGGCTTAACAACAATAAAAAATAGCCAAATGTTGTTACACTCATTCGGCAATGCTGTCTCCTTTTCACAGACCCACACTATGTTTAGGTTCTACTCAGAAATGCTGAGCATATTTGTAAAAAAATTGCCTCCAATTAACTTGAATATCTTACTAAAGTGGAATAAAACATTCTTACCTTATTAGAGCTTCATTTTCTGTTCTTTCACTGAAAAAAGTAAAGAAATCTGTATTAAAGATCTATTTGGTAAATAGTACTTTCTGAAGTTATTATTTTAGTTTCACTTCAATTAACACCAAAACTATGGGGTTCTTTTCACATAACTGAAATATATTTCCATTCATTTGGAGAGATAATCATTCTCAACACTCTCAGGTGAAGGCCTTTATTTATTTACTACCTTAACCAGCTCTTCTGAACAAACATTTCAAATGCTTTGGAAATATCAATACAAACTGATCTAGTCAATTCATCACCTAAACAGTAGACTTCACAGGTTTATTTTCACTGCAAGCAGTATTTTGTGACTGGTATTGGTATTGCTATTATTTTTTGTTGGACACTTGATAGTTGCTATTCTAAGATGGGCTTGCCCTGCAATATGCTCATTCAAATTGCTTCTCAGCCTGAAAGTGTATTTTAAATCAGCTCTTTCCTGCTCAATCCCAAAACAGGTAAGGTCACCTTGTATAAGAATGAAAGCATCAAGCCATTTCATTAAACATCTGCTTCAACTAAGCCATTCTAAATGGCACATTTGACAACAGTGTACCAACACCCCTCACGAAATCCAAAAATCCAAAAAGCTGTAAGACTATTCTGAAAAAGCTCCAGCATGATTCAGAGCAATCAATAATTTTTTAAGGCATAGCAAATATTAATTAACCTTTCATTTCTTTGTGACTTTTGTTCAGTCCTTTACAACCAGGACCTATTTACAGGCATCAGCATTATAACTGGGAATTGGATTCTGGTAACTCTGAACTAAATGGGTATATTTTGCCACTAATATATGCAAGAACAGAATCACACTTTATCTTATTTCACTTTTGAAATTAGCATAATACACAGCATGAAACAGAAAACAAAATGCCAAGTCTAATAAAATATGACAATTATTAGTGGTATTTGTTGAAAAGCAGAGAAATCATGCTGAGTCACAGGCAAAACATCCCAGCCTCTAGCACTTTCTGTACATACTCCCATTAGCCATCAGTCAGTATGGTTAGAAATTTATAGATGAAGGGAAAACAAGGAGAGACCTTGTTCATCTCTGCCAAGGAAGAATTTAAGGCTTGGCCTCGAAGCATGTGATCAATGTAGTGGTTGAAGAAATTAATCCTCTGCTCTACAGTGAAAATACTGTGTTTTGAGGGGCAGTAGGGTTAACAACAGACTCTTCTAGGAATGGCTGTGAATCTGTCAACCTGAGGGAAACAAAGCTCAAGTGAATAGTAGAAGTGCCTCTGCCTTTAGAGTATGTTCACCTGGTTTTTTTTATGAGAGACCTATAAAATGAGCCTATTTCAGAAATGGAACAGGTAAACGTAAAAAGAAACATTTCTGCAGTGCAGAAATTCATTAAGTTAACCATCCATCTTGAGAAAAGTCATGAGATCTCATTTTTATGAAACAATTCATCAGACCTGAAATTTCAGTGTCCGATTTCCCACAGCTGAGGAGGTGCATATGTGTACCTTTAAAGGAAGAGGAACAACTGAGGTAGTTTCATTACTTAGTAAAATACATCTCAACCCTTCGTGCTCCACACTGGGCACCAAAAAGGACTGTCATGGTTTCGACCCAGCTAGCAACTCAGCCATTCACTCACTCCCACACTCCCCCCTCCCCAGGCCACGATGTGGAAGCGAACAGAAGGAATGGAAACTGCATGGGTTGAGATAGGAAGAGTCCAGTAACTAAAGTATAATATAAAACTACTACTAGTGATAATAATAGAAGTAACAAGGGGGGAGAATATAAAACTAAAATGGGAAAGGAAAAAAAACCAATAAACACAAGTGATGCACAATGCAATTGCTTACCACCTGCCCACCGATACCCAGCCTGACCTGAGCAGTGATCTCACCTTCCAGGTGACTCCCCCCAGTTTATATGCTAAGCATGATGTGCTGTGGTATGGAATACCCCTTTGGCTAGTTTGGATCAGGTGTCCTGTCTCTGCTTCCTCCTGGCTTCTTGTGCCCCTCCTCACTGGCAGAACATGAGACTGAGAAGTCCATGATCAGGGTAAGGGCTACTGGGCAACAACTAAAACATCGCTGTGTTACCAGGATTCTTCTCAGACTGAAACCAAAACACAGCTCTGCATCAGCTACTAGGAAGGAGAAAAATAACTGTTACAGCTGAAACCAGGATTTACTCATGGATTTGATTTTCTACAACTCCTTCTGATAATCAGCTGCTAAAACATGCATCAGCACCAGATCACCTCACATCTGGCTTTAGGTGTGGGTCACCCATGAGAGGTAACTTAAGAAAGGTTTTGCATGCAGGAATCAAGGGACAGAACCAGTAGGTATTGTATCACTGGAGGCTATGTGTGGTTTCAATACGACTAAGTGGGATTTACTACAGCACGAACCAAACCCTTACTTTTCTCATGTAAAACACTCATTGAATCTAACCAGAGTGCAACTGAGAACACATTATGTCTGATTCTTTATTACTCACCTGTCTCAATACTACAGCAGTCCACAGCATAAAGTTTATGGGACCAGAATGCTTCTTTGTGGGAAGGGAAAGGAATATCTTACAGGATAGCCTGTAACCACAAAGCAGATACAGGCGCAAGTCTGAGGAAGACTAAAAGTCATTCTGGATTTGTGACAAGATCCATAGCTTTTGAAGCAAAGTATTTCTATGCAAGAAACACTCACAGCACAGGCTGCTTTGAAGCATATTTAACTCATCCTACGTACCTTTAAAAGAAGAATGAAAGCTGACTTTGGCAGGGTTTATGACTCCCAGAAAAAAAACAAACCCCAGCATGCCTAAAGAGTTTGCATAAGTTTGCTTTATCTGATCTAGCTGTTGATAACAGGACAAGCTATAATGAGGGTCCATGAGTATCTCCCATCATATGTTCTCGTGGGCCCTGCTGCCTGTTCAGCTTGATGGTCTCAGTAGTCCATGTCTGAGGACCTAGAGAAAGATGGATCATTATTGTTCTCTATCAGGCAGCAGGAAGGGTCTATCTTCAGATGATCTGGCTTATATCCAAGTGGAGATAACCTCTCAAAATCAACTGGGCAAGTGAGGTTCTAAGCATTTAATAGTGCTTGCCTGGTAAGACTTAAGCCTTACCTGCCCCTGATACCTTGGCAAAGAGTTTCACATGGACTCTACTTTCACATAAAAATATCTCCTGTTAACTGCCTGCACTGCTTTCATGCTTAATGACCTCCTTGCTCAGACGGAGAGAACAATCTCTACCAAAAACGCAATTGCACTTCATAGCAATATTCAGATGTGTCATTCTTCTAAGCATACGCCTCTTTACAGTAAAAACTGTACTTGTTCCCAGTCACTGAATGTGCTAACTTTGTATGCACTCTGGAGGGGTTCTAGCAGACTGCCTCAAAAGCGCATCAGTACAATTAAGCTAAACAAAGCAGGTCACTGTCCACACTCAGTGACAAAAGGCGCTGTAGTTTCAACAAACAGTTTGCCATAATCCTTTAAATTCAGTACAAAAAAAAAAATAATAATTTTTTGCAAGCTCCACCTTTTTCAGAATAATTCCTTATTAATCAGTTTTGGAAATACTAGTACTAAAAAACCCCTACTGACAGAGATTGTTTTAACAATGTACTTTGCTACTGAAGCTGTTCATGAGTCTTCTTAGAGAAGACTCACCAATGACTCCAACTGAACCACAGAAAACTAATAGTGCCAAATGGATTAGACAGCAGAATAGACGCAGATGAAAATCTCCTCCTGTACCAGACTCAGAGAATTCTTGACTGCATGGGGCTGTACACATAAAAGCACTCGTTTTTGTTTCAGTCATTGTTATTTCATCTTTTCTGTTTATGCTGTTTTGTAAAAACTGCAAAGCTGAAGATACAGCAAGATATCTTGCCATAACCAAAACATGGGTTTGATCCCTGTAATAAATACAACCAATAAGTTAAAACAAGTTATTTCCAAATGATTCAGCACTTATACAGTACACAGTAGGAGAAAAGGCATTCAGGTGCACTTCACATAATTTAGATATAAATTACACATTCTACCTATGTCTCTGAACAGATATCATAGTAGGGATAAAGTCACTGCTCTTCTTCTTGTACATATATCCTTATCCAACAAAATCCCATTCATCCTACTGAACATTACTTTTAGGCTCCTGAAACCCATCACAGACATCTTCATCTGGAAAGAAATAACTAGGGGGAAAATTCTTTAAAGTTACCAAAAAACGCAAATCTATTCAGGCTTCTAAACATACTCATCATCACCCCAGAATTTGTTTCAGTTTCCTTTTGTAGTCCCCGCAGGATGCCCTGATGTTCATAGGTCCCGCAAGGAGACTGACTGAGCAAAGCAGCTACAATTTTCTTTTTCACGAAAGATCACAGAAAGCCAACCAGGCCTGCAAAAGGCACAGAGTTCTCATTCCATCAAAGCCAAGAAAGGAAAAAGAAAGGGGTGGGGAACCAAGAATTCTGAGCAGGAAACAAGTTCACTCCTAAAGCCACTCCAAAAGTTCGGCTTTCAGTTCTGCTGTTCAGCAGCTCTCAGTAGGAATTAAAATGTGCAACAGTGAGGGGAGGGGAGGAATAGGAAAAAAACCCACGCCAAAAAAACACCAACAGGGAAGATATCACTGACCCCCCACAGCAAAGCTTCTCCTCAAGATGCAAGGAACTCTGCTGGCATGGAAACATAATTTAATTCTCCCTGTTCCCCCAGTCTTGACTCAAGGCCATTTGATTTCACAGTTCCAGCACTTGTAGTAGTTAGCAAATTGCGCTATGCACTTTGTAGAGTAAAAAGCCATGACTGCAGCATGCCAAATTCTAATCTGTGACAAGCATTTTCATTCCTGAAACTCTACACAGCATGCCTTGGATTGTTTGGTGCTTCTTAGCCAGACCCGGTCTGTGCGGGTGCGGCGAGGCAGCAGATAGGCCTGTGCGCACAGTCTGAATGCTGGGACTGACAGATGCATCCCGAGAATG